GTGTGTGTGTGTGTGTGTGTGTGTGTGAGAGAGAGAGAGAGAGAGAGAGAGAGAGAGAGAGAGAGAGAGAGAGAGATAGAGCTTAAATTCAGGGCCTTGGTGCTGTGTGTGTGTGTGTGTGTGTGTGTGTGTGTGTGTGTGTGTGTTTGGTGTTTGCTCAACCCTAGCACTCTCTACTACTTGATCCACAGCTCCACTTCTGGCTTCTTGCTGATTCATTGGAGAATCGAGTCTCACAAATTTTCCTTCCTTCCTGGGCTGGTTTCAAACCACAGTTTGGAACTCAGCTCCTGAATAGCTAGGATTTACAGGTGTGAGACACCAGCACCTAGCCCATTAGGAATTTTTCAGGCAGAAATATTTCCAACTTTGAGATCAGTGACAGCACAGAGGTTGACTCACTTTTTTTCTCCCACTCTTTCCAGAGCCTTGCTGAACTATCACCTGAGTCTGCGCACTTACAGTCTGCCATGTGTTCCTGTCCGAGCAACGCCTACCAGCAGGCGGATTTCAGCATCCCAGCCACCAACGAAAGTTGTTTGGATTCTTCTGCTGCTAGACACAAAATGGCTTTAAATCCTCGAAAACAAAAGAAGAAGATTATTTTAATTGTAAGTTTTTCAAAAGACCAAGTTAAAAATTTCTGTTTAAGAGAGGATGAGTTTCAACCTTTGCAAAGCATTCCTTGGGAAGGATATGGTTTAGGAAATCCATACGCTGAGCAGGGATGGAAAAATTGACATAATCTTGACACCCCAAGAGGGAGGAGAGAGCATATGTGTATATGTGTGTGTATAGTATATTATATGCAAATAACATTATAATTCATATATTATATGGTATATGAAAATATGCTATATTAATATATGATATATTGTTATAATTTATTATATTACATATATAATGCAATATAATATTTAATATATAATATATATATTTCACCACAAAAAGGCCTGGATAGTAGTATAGTGCTTGCCTTGCATATGCAAGGCCCTGGGCTTCATCCTCAAGTATGGCAAATAAACAGAGGAAAAATACATGGCCACAGATCAGACACAGAGATCTGACAGCAAAGAGAAGTGACAGAGGCTAGAGAGCTAGGACAATAATAATAATAATAATAAGCTGGAAATACTTAGTGTCGATGGTCAGAACATTGCTCACCTCATTAGGTTTCTTGGGACCACACTGTCTTCTAGTCTAGGGTAAGAAGTCATGTTCATTATTTGTTTAATTCACGGAGAAATGTTAAATTATGTTTCTTGATCCTTGCTTTTAGTAAAAAGCTTTGTCACAAAGAATTCTAAAGGTTCCCCCCCACCCCCAGTGTTCAAAAGGATGTGTTGATGACTTTGAAATTCTACTTTGGTCAACGCCTCAATTTCTCAGTGATTTGGAGCTAAAAATAAAAGGCTTTACATCAGTTGGAAAAAATGCAATGATTGTGTAGCACAAGCATTTTCCAGGGAAGAATATTAAAACCCAAATCATTCAGGTACTTGTCCAAAGTCAAGTACTCATGCAAGAGCAGAACTCAAACTAGAATCCAGTCTTTTGACTTCCAGGTTGGTCCTATTTTCATGCCCACGATGTTGCCTATTCCTTACACATCTCAGTCTTCTTTTAGAAAGTTGACATAATACAAATGGGGAAAGCATTGGAGGAGCAAGGACCTGTGGGAGGACTTCTGGTGCCTCTGAAATCATCCTTGATTTGCTATCAAGCAAGGGATGACCAATTAACATATGCCAAACCCTATAGGTACATTATCTACCTAAGCACATCTTCAAAAACCTGGGAGGGAGGGAGGGTGTGGTGGTGAAGGGAAACTTCATGTGACCCTTCTTCCTTCTGCACAAACTAATTGAGCAAAGATCAGAGCAGAACTTTCCAACAAGACCAGGCCATCTACTTCACCCCTGTGACTTTCTCCTTGCCATATAGATGAACAGAAGAAGATTCAGGATTGCTTATAACACAGGGGTTGCTACCACTTCTCCAGGCTCTGGAATTTCTTAAATCTGCAAGTCCCAGTGGGACTCCTGATTTTCAAAGTTAGAAAATAACTTGCCCAAGGTTACACAGCAAGTAAATGATGACGAGACTTGAACCCATCTCTCTGACCTCATTTACTGAAAAGTAAATGATTTCAGTCTGAGGTTATTTGCACAGCCATTTTCTTTTCTATTCTTTTCTTTTTTTGCAGTATTACAGTTACAGTTTACTGAGAACAGAGGTAAAACAAAAGAGTGGTGATTAGCTCTGCTTGAATTGGCCAGCAATGATCTCTAACAGTCTTCTAGAGGTAGAAAACAGATTTTCTTCTTCTTTTTTTTTTTTTGGTTAGTTGTGAGGCTTGAACTCTAGGCCTGGGTGCTGTCCCTGAGCTCTTCTGCTCAAGGGTAGCGCTCTACCACTTGAGCCACAGCGCTGCTTCCAGCCTTTTCTGTTTATGTGGTGCTGAGGGAAAGAACCCCGGGCCTCATGCATGCAAGGCAAGCAACTACCACTGAGCCACCTTACCAGCCCCGGAAATAGATTTTCAACTAAGAGCATTTCAGGAATCTTTCAAGTATGCAAGGTTACTGACAACATTTCATACCAGGATAACTCTGAATATCAAGATAGCTCACTTTATAGGATAGAATTAATTTATTCCTCACACAAGTAAACAAGAATTTGTTTTTGTTAGGTCTGTATATGTAAAAACCAATATTAATTTTCAAGATTTCTTTAGTGTGGTTCATAATACAGTGAAATTGTTTATCCCACATATGTTAGTGTATTTCAGTACTGTGTATTGTTTTACTAACTGAAAATGTTTGACAGGTAATGGTACTATTTGGCAAGTGATAAATTCTTTTTTAAATGTAGAGGTTCACTTTAAGAAAAGTACTGCTGGGCTGGGAAGGTGGCTCAGTGGTAGAGCGCTTGCCTTGCATGCTCGAGGCCCTGGGTTCGATTTCTCAGCACCACATAAGAAAAAAGCCGGAACTGGCGTGCACAGCCATTTTCAATGGGGGTACAGAGATGTACATCTGCCTTTTGATACTTCTCATAAGGACTCCCACTAAGCAAATGGGAGATAATTATTCCTCAATGCAATGCTACTCTGACATTCCCAGAGTTGACTGTAATTATCTGAAAACCCTATTTACATTAAACCAATTTCAATCCATGCAGCACAAGGGCTTAACTGGTCACCATTTTGGGGGGGGGGGTCCGGTTGTGGGGCCTGAACTCTGGGCCTGGGCACTGTCCCTCAGCTCTTCAGCTCAAGGCTAGCGCTCTACCACTTGATCCACAACGCCACTTCCGGCTTTTTTTTCCTTATGCTGAGGAATCGAACTCAGGGCCTCAGGCATGCAAGGCAAGCGCTCTACCACTGAGCCACCTTCCCAGCCCCCAACTCGTCACCATTTTTTTTCTGTCTTTCTTCATGAGAAATCCCTAACCCTCTTTTATTCTTTTGAGCAGAAAAAGTCAAATTCATGCTTTCCCTCATTGCCCACGGAGAAACTAAACAGGATTTGTTGGACTTTGGTAAATTTTCCAATTCCAACGTTATGTTGTCAGGCTCAGCAGACCCATTTTTCAGATCTCTGGCTTTCCAGTGTGTTTTGGTAGTATGTGGGGTGTTTTCAGAATAATCCTAAAGCATGATGCTCAAAGATTAGGAACTCCAGGTGTGGATAAATCACTTCCAGTGGTGATCCCTAGGGACTTCTTATAGGAGGCCGTTGGAAAGAACATCCCTCCTTACCAGTATTATTATGGACCCAAGTGAATGATTTTGTTGTTGGTGGTGGTGGTCATGGGGCCTAACTATGGGCCTGGGTGCTGTCCCTGAGCTCTTCAGTTCAAGGCAAGAGCTCCACTACTTGAGCCATAATACCACTTCTGGTTTTCTGGTGGTTAATTGGAGACAAAAGTCCCATTGACTTTCCTGCCCAGATTGGCTTTGAATTGTGATCCTCAGATTTCAATCTCCTGAATAGCATGAGCCACCGGCACTCAGCTCTGAATGATTCTTTTTTTTTCATTTACTATCTTTAGGTAGTTGTACAAAGGAGTTGTCACCCAACAAAGCAGTTTAAAATGCATCTTGGTCAACATCACCTCTTTAATATCCCACCTTCTCCTCCAAACCCCCTACTTCCAATCACTTTTCTTAATTTTATAGGATATGCATGGAATTATTGACGGCATTTCTCCCCCTTCTTCTCCTCATTTGCCTGTCCATCTCCCCTTGACGCCTCTTAACGCCTTTCAAGGACCACTTCCTTGTGTTTATTTTGTTGAACGTGGACGTTGCCTTTTTCCAATGAATTACACTGAGTTCTCCCTTGAACCTACCTTTTTTCAGTTAATGCTTTTGTGTCCACTTACATACACCCAAAGTACTTATATATTTATAAACAAATTCTAGTTTCCACATGGGAGAAAACATGTAACCTTTGTACGTAATCGTCTCTCTGGGCCCGGCTTACTTTACAACAGAATTTTTTTCTCCAGGTCCCTCCATTTCTTTGCAAATGATGCATTATCATTACTTTGAATGACTTTTTTTGCCAAGAGAGAGTAGATCAGATTCCAGCTCTTTCTTTGTATCTTTTAGCAAAAACCCAAGCAGGAAGAGCCCATCCCTTCATTGGTTTCTGAAGAAGAAAAAAACCCAACCAGAACAAGAGAAGCTGTCCAAAAGAAGGTGAAGAAAAGCAATGCAGGTTGGCATATTTTCCCCTTCACCTAGAAATGTGTGCTACAGGCTTCACTGCACAATGCAATATGCCCAGAGCTATGAATAAGTATTGGCCTGACTATAGCCCTTCAGAGTCTGTAATTGAAGATAGGGGTAGTCCATACAGTGTTCTCTATGTAACCTACCAAATTATCCCAATTAACATTTGCAAAGTCTTTATTTTTTTATTGTGAAAATACCATACAATTACATGGGCAAGATAATGAGTACATTTCTTTTTTTTTTATTTTTTTTTGTGAACACACTGTACAAAGGGGTTACAATTACATGGGCAGGATAATGCGTACATTTCTTATCAAGCATTGCAGCCTCCTCCTTTGTTTACCCTTCACATCCCTTCCCAGC